CCCCCCCCCCCATCCCCGTCCTCCGGCGTGATTTGTTGTTCTTTCTTCGCTTTGGTTGCAGGGTGCTGGCCCCGTGAGCGTGAAGGTGACCCTCCGCGGCAAGAAGTACGACGTCCAGGGCGCCACGTGCGTAGAGGATGTCCAGAAGTCCGTAGAGGAGCAGGCAGGCCTTGCCAAGGAGCAACAGGTAACGCAGCAGAGCGCAGCAGGCCGACGGGACGCCATGGTAGCCTTGACGCTGCCGTGTGTACAATCCGTAGGTTGCACGAGATATACCACACACACACACGCTGGACTGATTTTCTAAGCTCGATTACATCTGCGGCACAAATCATTGGCGGTGCCGAAAATGGCAGTGGCGGTGGAACCGCCTCTCTCGTCGAGAGCGCTTTCCTTAAACCCATCGTTGGATTTGGCACTTAATGACGTAGTCGAGCGTAGAAAATCGGCTCAGGGTGTGGTATCTAGCGTTATGCAACCCACGGTATTACCCTGGGTGTAAGAAGAGCAAGGGGAGGGCACCGACGGAAACCGTCGAGGAACGAAGGGTGTTGTTGTAGTAGAGACCCGTACTCGACTGGCAATTTGTATCGACGCGGTTTTTGGTGAATCGATTCCCCCGCAGACGGAACGAAGAATGCCCCTCAGATCGCTCGGAAGCTGTTGCTCGTCCTGAAGAGCTTGAAACCCACCGCCAGCTTGTTTTTAGTCGCGTGTGGGCATGTCTGGGTCCAGATACGAAGACAGTGTTGCCAGATGCCACTTTACGCCAAGTGAGGGGAGAGAAAGAGGCTTGGGTTTATGGAAGGGAAGACGCTGGAATTGTGGGGGATCGAAATGACCAAGGTGAGCAACGAAATGAGTGCCCCCTGCCCCTCTGCCATCCGCTCCCGTCCGTGTGGGACTTGGTCGTCGTCCTTCTTCGTGTACCCTGTTTTGTAAAACATCGTCTGCGCTGCGGCGTGGCAGTCGGTCTTGTTCAAGGGGAATCTCCTGAAGCCGGAGTTGGAGTTGGAAGAGGCGGGCGTTTCCGACGGGGACACGGTCAACATCGTCCCCAGCAAGAAGCCCAAGACGTCCGTGGCAGCGGTGAGGTTTGCAGCTATCTCTTGTCGTTAGCTGGCTTCTCTTGCCTGAGTGTTTCTCGCGCCTCTCATACTGTCACTTGGTGGCGTCCTGTCATCCGGGGTACGGCTGTGCACGTTATATTTTGTGGCTGGATTATCTTGCCTGCAGTGGTTCTCTCCTCTCTTGTACTGTCACTTCATGAAACCCTGTCATCTGGGATAGTGCTGTAGAAGATGTGTAGCGTAGCTGGCTTCTCTTGCCAGCAGCGGTTCTCTCCTCTCTTGTACTGTCACTTCATGACACCCTGTCATCTGGGATACTGCTGTACACGCGATGCTGTGTAGCTGGCTTCTCTTGCCTGCAGTGGTTCTCTCCTCTATTGGACTGTCGCTTCATGGCTTCCTGTCGTCTGGGATACTGCTGCAGGAGATGTGGTGTCGCTGGATTCTCTTGCCTGCAGTGGTGCTCTCCTCCCTTGTATTGTCACTTCATGACACCCTGTCATCTGGGATACTGCTGCAGAAGATATGCAGCGCTGGCTTCTCTTGCCTGTAGTGGTTCTCTCCTCTCTTGGATTGTCGCTTCATGGCTTCCTGTCATGTGGGATACTGCTGTACAAGCTACGTGGTGTAGCTGGATTATCTTGCCTGCAGTGGTTCTCGCCTCTCTTGGATTGTCGCTTCATGGCACCCTGTCATCTGGGGTACTGCTGTAGAAGATATGTAGCGTAGCTGGCTTCTCTTGCCTGCAGTGGTTCTCTCCTCTCTTGGATTGTCACTTAATGGCTTCCTATCATGTGGGATACTGCTGTACACGCGGTGTAGTGTAGCTGGCTTCTGGCCTGCAGTGGTTCTCTCCTCTCTTGCATTGTCACTTCATGACATCCTCTCGACTAAGATATTATCTGTACCCGCCCTTTTCCTCGTCAACGTCGCTACTGCTGTCTATTGGGGCTTGCCAAAGGCTGAGAAGGCGTTTGCCGTGGGCGCGGGGGGCGACGGGGAAGAAGTAGAGGCGGGAGTTGGGGGGGGGGCGGGCGGAAGCGATCCCTTCGGCGGGGCTCTCGGGGGCCTGGGCGGCCTTGGGGGGGCGATGGGCGGGGGAATGCCTGGGGGCATGCCGCCCGGCGTGACGCCGGAGATGTACCAGAAGATGATGAAGGTGGGGACAGCAGCGTATTGGGGGACTTACTCTTTATGTTTTGCATGCCTGTAGCGGTTAGGCCATTGACCACGCCTCGTCGAGAGGATGGAGCATGGTTTCCACGAGACCGATCACGGATGATGGCCGATCGTTCCTTCCTACTTTGCCAATGGTGGCTCAAAAATGTGTACCCTAGCCTACCTTCTCTATCGACATAGCTTCCCACCTTTTCAACCCACTTTCTATGCCCCAGTTTTTCACTAGAGGACACCCTAAAGCAGCGAGCTGTGCGTGTTGGCGCGCTCATATCTGCTTCTTGGGTGGTGATATGGACGGTCGTAGTAACTGCCTTCAATCCGTAAACTAGACCGACACGCTGTTGTGTTGGAGACCCTGCTGCTACTACTGCTGGGGAACACACACATGATAATTTTTTTTCCGAGTGTTTCGTGGTCCGGCGCTGGCTTAATGTGCAACGTGCGGAGGTTGCTGTGGCTGCTGCTGGACACACACATGCCTCAGATCACTGGTACATATGCCAACGCCATGTCCGCTTTGGGTCGGTGGAGCTATCTTTTTCGTTTTGGAATGGATTTTTCGGCAACTTTTAATGAAGCTGCGAGCCTGTCAGTCATCAGGCGAGGGTAGACACTCACACCGGCAAAGGCATGGTCATCTATCCGCCACAGCGTTGTGAGCACCCGCTATCAGAATTTGCTGAGGGAGGGGGTTGTCAACCCCCCCTCGCTTTCATCTCTACACGCGACTGCTATGTTGTAGCCATATGAAGAAAGTGTCGTTTGAAGATGTCGTGGCATGACGGTCAACCTGTACGCCTCAGACCTAACACCTCCCTGTAATGAGCACATAGCCAGCCAGAACTTTTGACACGTTCAGGAAATATTGGTGTCTTGCCAATATGACCAGGTGGTTTCCGCGCTCAGTGCTGTTTGTAGAAGCACACACAGGCCGGCTTCCCTCGGGGTCTAGCGGTTAATCTTGTAGCACCGTTATGTAGCAGCAGGCTGGAGTTTGATGATCTCTCGTGGAGTGAAACAATCTTTGTTTGGGTTGGGAAAAACCGTTATTTCGCGTGCATACAGCAGTACATATTTCGATTTCACGGACTACGAGGGAAAGGGACGGCTATCCCCTTGTCACGAAAATCTAAAGCAGGCACCGCAGGAGGAAAGTGGGAAAGTACGTATTTCTGTGCGACCTGCCTCCTTTGTGACCCCAGCTGATTCGTTGAACATTTTTACCGAAAGATGCGATGCTGGTACCACAAGAGATGAGACGAATACACGCAGCCGAGCGGTACGTTTTGTCTTCAAGGTGCCACGGAAGGACAATTGGTTGCCGTGTGGTACTATATCGCCTTCCTTTCTGTCTCCTCGCTTCATCCCCTGATGGGGAGCTACAGAGGCGTTTTATATCCTGCGGTCACGGCCGTCTTTTTTGTCGGTGACCGGACTGTTGGCGAGACGGATGCTATCATAGTTAGTGAATAACTCTAGACACGGCAGACGTGGCCAGCTCCCCGCATTTGAGCGTCCTTCGGGGGCTCTGGTGTCCACCCCCTGATGCTGCTGACGTGTTTTGACCACGCTAGGTGTCTGCGGAAGCAACGTTAGTTCACAGCTTACGGGTGCCCAGCAGGGGTACAAAGCGAAACCCTCTCAACAAGATTGTGCGTCAATTCGCAATCGAGCAACCGGAAGGGGTTGCAAGCCTGTCGCACTTCGAAACGTTGGATCAAAAAAAGTTGCTATTTGGAGGTGAAGTCTCTTTAACTAGTAGACACACCCGTCGCTTCAACGCCTCGTTCGTCGAAACGCTGATGTTGTTGGTCTCGCCCTGCGCACCCCCCCCCCCCCCTTGAAAAA